GGACAGCGAACAGTTGCCACTTCAATCAACAAGCCGACCAACTGAAATTGCACGTGCCTCCCGTTTGACGTCTCTAAAAAGGTCACAGCTGTTCAGCTTCGAGTAAACAAATTTCAATAAACTGGTTTTGAATTGCTTCGTCTGACTCGGTAAGGAAATGAACGAATGGTTTTGCTGCGGTAGATAATGGACTCGGTAATGCAATGGATACGTTGATTCAAAGAAAAAGCAAAGTATGAACAAGCCCTAGCTGAATTTAACCTTTCCGCCCGTGATTCAGCCACATACTGAAACTATCGAACTGGTTTTGTTTTTCATACAACAATGACTGTAATGTAAGAGTTCGATCGGGTCGAATGATCAACATGCCGCAAGTTCACCCAACTGCATGACTGGTAAGGTTCACTGCTTATTTGGTGAAAGAAATTTCGTTTGGTCGTGAAATAGGCAATGGAACGGAGGAAATTGAGAATTTGAAGAAGTAGAGAGTATCAATTCCAAATTGAGTTCTTCAATGACCTTTGTTGTTATCGGACTTTCGTTTGGGAATTGAAGGACAAGTGGTGGTGTGGTGATGAATGACGCTAGTTCATCACAAAATCCTCACGTCATCCGTACTCATTCATATAGTTGTGAGAAGTAGTAAAGTAGTATACAGGCGGCATAGCTTCGAAAGAATGGCCGTAAAAGCGAAAGGATTAAGTCCTGGAGCTTTAATCGATCCGGTCGGACGATGCGCCCGCGCATTCGACATCCATTCAGAATGATAGTGGCGTATTGAATGCGTATTTGGCCTATACAATGACTTGTGATGGCCGATGTCGATGTACAAGTCAGTGCTTTTATCCTCCTAGAGGAATCTGGTACGAATTAGCCGACCCCGGAAGGATGAAAGGCTTGGTTGGCCTGGGCGATTGAATGGCCATGACATCTGTAATTTGTAATTCAGTTCCTAATTAACTACTCCCCGTTCAATTGTGGTGTCGAGGAGGGTTAGAACAGCGGCGTTGTTAAGTTTTGCACGGTTCCGGAATCGAACTCTGGATCTTTTACGATTAGGTCGTCACCTCGTTATCTTCATAGTCTGCTTATGGCTATGAAATTACCAGGATGGGTTGAATAAGCTGAATTTCACTGAATCGCATGTCCTCTTGTTCCTTGACTACAGAAAATGAGCCCTCCCTCATTCGAACGCCGTTACAATTTCAAGGGAAGGGGGATGCTAGGCGTCCCCCAGAATACATCGATCGTAACCAGGCAGTCAACAATCGTATTTTTGTTGGAAAGATGAGAAAATCTATCTCTTGCATCTATTCAATGACTATGTGCCAGCAGTTAATCAGCTTTTATCTGCCCCGTTTTTTGACGGGCTTCTAATCGTAGCTGCTAACGATGAGAAGTATTAGCAGAAGCTTCGCATAATCAATACATGGTTCTCACGGAAGTGAAGAGTACGTTGTCTCCAAATATATTATAATAAATTTAACAGGGCACTTTTATAAGGAGTTATCGAATAAAATTAGAAAAAGGAAGTTGAATGAGGCATTCATGTACAAAACAGAGTCAAAAAGTGATAGGAAAGACTTTTTCTCGAAAACCCTGTGAAAAGAACGGCTCCAGAAAGGGTTATCAGATTGATCGATCCTATCTTCAACAGATAAACACGAAACTCGTGACGTTCGCCTTTTATTTCTAAGACCGTGTGCATTTATAAATTTTAATTACCACTCTCGGATAGGTACTCGGCGCATTCTTGAAAATTGAGCTTTGTAAACTTGTCTAGCTCTACAAACTTGATACCAAGTGGCCTAACTAGTGGAGAATGTGGATTGAACTGGGCAATCCTCTTGTTCGAGGACTATTTGGAGACTATCCTACTTGATTCCGGAAATTTCGCATTTCTGCACATTGCAATACAGCTCACTGACTTCGGTTTGGTCACTTGCATGATCTCTTCGTCAGTAGTCATCCATTGAAGGTTTGTAGATGGAAGAGTATGACCAGTGGAATGACCTATGAGGAGGAATGTTGTATGAAAACTGCAAAAATACAACAGCAATTGACAGCTGTTTTAGAAATTCTCCCTATCCGAAATACTATTTGGTACTGGTTGAATGAAGGCGTTCGGAGGTAGGAGACTCTTGGTCTGTACAGTTCAAAAACCGACCCCGGATTGAATTCCGTTCGGGCCAAAAGACACTTCCCTTCCTTGCAAAATCCTAAAATCCGTTTATTGGTGTCCGAGACGTTCGGGAGTAGAGAAAAACGTCGGATTGGATATCTGTTAGACCCTTCCCCTAGTTTTAACTGAAAAAGGTCGTATAGTTCGTAGTGGGAGTCAAGTACTTGCCACGTACTCGCAGGGAAAGAGTTGCTTGACACTGAATAGAATGCTTTCTAATCCCACTGAATTATGTTAATTTAAAAAGTGCAATGGAAACTTTACTCGACGAAACTGAAAGCAGGAAAGGATGTTGGGAACTAATGGAAAAAAAACCAATTTTTTATGTGAATGACTAAAGTTGTGTAGTACATACCTGTTATTTGGGAAATTGATGGCAAACATGTCCATCAAAGACAACTAAAAAGTACTAATTTCTCACATTCGAGAAGGAACTGCTTCTTATTTGACTTCCGATAGAGTCCCGAGATCAGGCTAAAGTTTAGTAGATGGAATGGTAAAATCCAATTCTCGCAATTAATTTCTCTCTACGGGTAGGAAGGCCTGGCAGCTGCAAGTGATTTCGTTCAATACCCACTTGAATCAGGAAAAGAGTGGAAGGATGGGAGAGAATTCGTATCGGGAAGTTCTTTGAGTATCAAAAAAAAAAATTTATAATTCTGTTTATTCTGATTAGCATCGTGCAATGGCTGTTCGTCGTTCCCAAAGGGTAATCTAGAAAAAAAAGCTTGAAGGGGAAGGGTATGGAAAGTTCCCACGAGGACTTGATTGGATAAATAATCAGGAACAGATTAAGTGTTGTGATGGAAACTGTCTCAGGGCTCTCTTGAAGGAACCTGTCAAGCAACTTCAGGAGCGCGTTCGGGATTTCCATCGCACTCAGAGTCGTAATTAAACCTATTTTTGATTTTTCAGTATGGATTCGGAGTGTGTTGCCGACAAGCGCCTTGGAAGCTCATGAAGAAGCCTGGAATGCCTATCCCTACACGAAGACTAGGTTTGTTTACGTATAAGTATGGATTTGTAATCTTTTTTTCAAGACTTTTCGCTCATTACAGTTGCTTAAGTGAGGGGGGGGGGGGGGGGAGAGAAGTTGCTTACAAGTGCTTGGCAATTCCCAGCAACATAGCCAAAGTGACGGCCATTCAATTTGCTCATTACTTGTCCACTGTCACAGCCAATTTGTTCGATGGAAACTCGCCATCAATGTGGAAAACGACTCACAGCTGGACGGGGGTACGGGGGAACATAATCGTTAGGCAGCACAGCTCTTTCTCGGTGATTCATGGTTATGAAGCTGAATTGTAGCCTACCCGGGGCATTACTCACTGTAATGGCAGACTTGATGGGTTTGATGAAAACACGCCGACAGCGGCCTCGCTTCTCTCTAGAAATGGATTGGTGAAGCCATACAGGAGTATCCCGAAGGGTGGTCTGGGGTAGTAAACCTTCTGCAGAAATGGAGCTCAGGGAAAGCTTAGAAGCTTAGCAAATTTTTTTCGGGGCATGCAAGGCCTGGGATAAAGCATTACTTTTGTTTACAAGTATTTCAGTAACTGAAGCTAGTTATTATGGGAGCAGTTCCCATTGATTACTGAAGAAACAGACTTATATTGAGTTACGGGAATTCTAATTAATCCGATTGTTGTTTGTCGTCATCGTGGAAGATGTACAAAATTCATAAAAGTGTAGGAACTCAACTGTCAAAGAGGGTCCTGTCAGCAGTTCCGGAAAGTTTCTCGAAGTAATTTTACCTAATCTCTCCTAAGTAATCGTTAAAATAAAGTGCGTAAGTCCTATTGCGGTATGCCAATGGATAACACGATAAGGGAGTACGTCGCTTTCTGCTTTTCTAAAGGACATTGGAGCTTTCTCTGAAGGAATAGTGTCCCGTGCTTCGTTAGAAAAACTCTTGAAAGGGAAAGCTAGCGTGGCTAATTGCCTATGCTGGGTCTTTTCAGCTTGTTCGATGAACCGGAACTGAATGACTTCAGACTCAGGCCGAGCTCTGCCTGCTGACAAAGCTACGTGGGTAGAAGTGATGGGGCTCTGGAGGGGTAGTCATTAGGAACTACAACTGTACAGTCGACCCAAGGCTAAAAGAAGTTGGAAAGCGCATGAGAAGTGAAAGCAGACGGCAAGAGCCTATAGGACACCGAATCGAATACAATTTGCTCCAAAAAATAGTCGGATAGGCAGCTGCTTGAATCACATTCACCCCCCAACAACCAACCGTTTTCAGGAGTTTCAGCAAAGTAATAGACTATAAAACTCTCATTCTGGATTACTAATCATTTCAGGGACTTGAGTACCCGTTCCTTTGAATATCTTGCGAATCTACAGGAAGTCTTTTTTTAGCCACATATTCCCAACCGGTTATGGGGTACCGCCTTGAACAAAACAAGCTTTGTGTTGTTCAGTCCTTCCGGAATTCTTGGTTCCGTTCGGAGACAACTCAAGTGGTCAACACAATACAATTACTAGTGAAGCAAGCAAGAAATATAAGGGAACACTGCTTGCTTCACTAGTGATTGTATTGTGTTGCTCACTGGAGAGGAGAAAGTCAGATATAAAGTTACTCAAAAAAAAAAATGGTGAGGGGTCGAACAGTTCTCCTGGACTCGTGGAACCGATGGAACTCATCATAACCCTCCCGTACAGCTTAGTTTTTGGNATAAGGGAACACTGCTTGCTTCACTAGTGATTGTATTGTGTTGCTCACTGGAGAGGAGAAAGTCAGATATAAAGTTACTCAAAAAAAAAAAATGGTGAGGGGTCGAACAGTTCTCCTGGACTCGTGGAACCGATGGAACTCATCATAACCCTCCCGTACAGCTTAGTTTTTGGTAAATAGTAAAACACTGGCAAAGGTTTAGTAATGGCTAGTTGAACCACAGTCAAACTAGAAATCCGCCTTGAAAAAATTGTAGTTTTATGAGTTTGACTCTCTTGTATGTCATGTGATGATAGCAGCTGGCTACAATGAGATAAAAGCTTTTACACATTTCTTTCCTGAGGTAGCATGTATCTCAGGAACGGATTATATTCCTTTAACACGTCTTCCTCGCTACTGCTAATAACAGCTTACGGGGGTTCTTTGTGTTCTTGAGATCAACAACAACTGATTTATCGCCTTGAAGCCAGGAACATAACTCCTACCTCAAAGTAGCCATCGTCTGCCATATGGAGAAATGTGGAACGTGAAATCGTCACGTTCCACACTTCTCTGTATGGCGTTCCACGTTCAAGATCATTGGCAGCAGTAATCTCATCCCCTTCAGATTTCCCCCTACCAATTACCAGATGGCCTCTGAGATATGCACGCTTTACTTTTTTAATTTTTTTTCAAATTATTGGAGAAAACCTCAAGTTCTGGAGTAAAACAAAAAACAACTTGCTTACATTTACTTAATTCACAAAACAAAACTAACATCTACTCACATACGCCTTTCTACAAGTCGGAACTGCTCTGATCAACTAAACCGTCGAACTATTTATTTCCAAGAACCCAAAATGGTCCTATACCAGTTGGGTTGTCGCACGCTCATGTGAGAATGACAACATGAGTTTGGTTAACAAACTTTGAACCCTCGTGTTCATTTTCATTCTACCAAAAACCAATCTTTTTATCTCCCGTCTACGTGACATTTCACTCTCCCAGCAGGGTCTACGTGACATTTTGCGGGCTGACAGTAGGACACACCGACAAATAGACAATAGCAGTGGTCAACACAGGGGTCTTGGTTACTGGAAAATGATCCACGAAAGACAATTTTTCTCGCATTAAACGAGTGATAGACTTATTCAGTAAATAGCCGGTTTGGGAGTGTAACAGGGGCAAGTATCCATTGAATCGCCGATGGAAGCCGACTATGAGTAATCGAGTAAGCGGGTATATATAACCTGTAAATGCTAAGCGCTTATTCAAATCAAATAAATACCGATCCAAATTCTCAAGTTTTGAACATATAGGGCACGCCCAGGAGGGACTGGTCATCATAGTTGCGGAATCGAAAAGCCCAGTCACAATAGTCTTAAGTAAGAAGGATTTAGGAAACCAAGTATTTCTGGGTATTTTAGTTCTGGGTAGTCATTTGAGTGGATAGGCCAAGGCTTCGGTACAACCAGTGGAACTGAGACGGTGTAGACGATCTGTGGCCAGTGGATACACTGGAATCTGTGGCAAAATATTGTGAGGCGACACAGCGTCGATCCAGCTGATGTTCTCATGTTTCCAGAGCGGTGTTTTGATCGAACCACTCTCATACATATTTTAAATTTACTTACTGCCAACTGAGTGAGGTTCACTGACTTCCGAGATAATTTTTTCGGGAAGTAGTGAGCACTTCTGTGCGTTTTTCATTCGACAGCTTTACAAGATGACGCAGATGGCTTCACTATCTTTTCCATTTTCGAAACGATTTCCAGAGTCATTTGGATGATTTGATGGTGTTTACGATGGCGTCGCTTCGTATGGCCGCATGATAACACTGAACCACGAGGGAATAGAGAGTTCCCCGAGACGAAGCGATTCTCGGCATTTAGGGACGGGCGGGGATTACATTACACGCAATTTCTGAGTAACAACATTTTTCAAATGTATTTCCTTCTCGTAGTGGTGTTGGTGAGGAAGGGGGTCTGCACTCCATGGGATGGGCAAGAAATTTTATGTCAGCTACTCATTCATTGGATGAAGGGCCCTTTTCGACGCTCCGAACACCTCGTTTTTCAGGACGTTCCTCAGGGAATAGACACAGGAAGACTTTGTAGGCCAAGACACATTCTGCCCAAAAGGTTGGGGACTATGGGAGTTCATTGTCATGTGCTGACTATACAATACAATCTGCATGGGAACTTTTCTACCCAAAAAATTCAAGAAGAGTAAATGGTACCACTAGAGGGAAACCATGAGTTAATCCAGTATTCATTGCATTGGTTCCGAAGAACAGTGTACGCTCCAGTATGTAGTAGTTAGCTACTAGTGAACTTCCAACTTCCTAGTTTTCGATTCTTACTAGCACTGGATACTTGGGGGAATCCTTAAAAAATGCTTGCTATTCAAAGAGCTCTGACGAAGAATTCCTCTGGCTCTGGCGTTCCCGCGAAATAGCGTCGTCTTAGATGAAGACGACCAAGAATCACGGACTGTGAGGTTGCGCCATGCAACTGCTTTATACCGGAGAGCAATTCTTCCCTGTCGTTGTCTTCCCACTTCCTGGTTCAGGACCAATAATCTCGTCGCCCACAAACACTGGAATAATATATAATAACAAGATGTACAGTCCAATAAAAAGATCTGCGACAATATCAAATCCGAAGAGTCTCACATGATTGATTGGGTGATAACCTTTGATGTTAAAAATAGTCGATCTCTCTTTTGCAAGACTCCACCATTCGGCCTGCGGCCTGAACCTTTCCTGAATAGAGGGCTTGTTTGGCTACCCAGCTATCTAAGCGTTCCAAGAATCAGAGCGAGAATTTTATGAAGATATAATCCTTCATAATAGGGTTAGTTTTTTCTGGACGCCCACATACTCATAACTTACGACAGCAGCTCATTTGTCGCAGCCAAGGACATCTCAAGATGACGGATTTCCCGATCAAAAAAACCTGGCAGTGGTTTCACCAAAGTACTAGTGCAGTTGGAAACCCAACAGGCTTTCATGAGGCTTCAAACCTGTCTGGGGTGTGAAAAAGAGGGAATAGTGAAGCCTGCCAACAGAGCAACTGCTTCAGTGTTGATATAAATTGAGAAGAGCGCACTCTTATAGGATTCGTAGGGGATGCCGAATTCTATTGTAACAGAGTGAGAGGCGCAATCGACGGGGCATCATTATTATCGTCGACCCTATTGTCGCGTGGATTGGCTTTTGACCCGTATGACAGCTTAAGAAAGAAATCGTGTAATTAGCACAATGGATCACAAGTAGGGAAATAAGTGAGCATTCCCACTTTTAGGGCAGCTCCTTCTCGGACCAATAGGTATAAAATACCTGAGAAGCCTGAGAGTTGGTAAAATAATGATTTATTAGGGTAGGTATAGAAATTTGCATAGTCTAAGCTTATACAATCAAGAAACCAAAGGGAAAACGCTCAACGTGATGTTTTAATCCTCCATTATAACCGGGAAATGCATTTAACATTTTTGAAAGTACCAGCACAGGATAACCTCAGAGCGTTGCTTGTAAAAAGAAAAGGTCATTAAGGAAGATCAAAGTAACTACTTGACAAGATGCTTGTGCAACTGATGTCATAAACAAGTGACCGGTTAGTTCTTGATCGGCCCGTTCTAATTATTGGTCTGGGACCACTTGAAAACAACAGTTTTCACCCAGAAATACATTGAAGTAATGTACCCAGATTTACAGCTAAATAAAGATAAAAAAGTAGATAGAATCCGCATCATTAGTAAAAAATCTCGAACGTCCGATTCTATGTTGTCGAACATCGCTCTTCCTGTTTCTGTGATAACTGGAAGGCACCCGTTCCTTACAAGGTGAAGCTTGGTCTTTGTGAAGGAGTTTCACGAAATGCTGTTCAAAGTACTGCTCAAACTGTAAAACAGTTTACTACTCTGTTGCGGGAATCTTTTAATACTAGGGCAATTTTGCTTATTGATATATTCAAAGGTAATGTCGGTAATAAACATAACCATTCAGGTACTCGACCCCGATGATGGATAGATTCAGTTTGGAAGTGGAAACAATGTACTTCAACGATCCGGGTAATCAAAACAACGTTTTCAATCTGAACGCAGAGGACCTGAAGAACCGTATTGTAGACGTGATGGACTTTGTTAAGGTACTGATGATCGTAGTGTTTCAATAATTTTATTTTACAAATAGAATCCGATCATTTTACTTGCAGGACCCGATTTCATCCGGTGACTACTGTGCTGAAGAGGACCCTAAACTCTACCGAAGTCAGAAAACTGGTCGTGGACCTCTTAACGAGGACTGGGTAAAGGATTGCGTTCGAGCAGGTGAATTTCACATTATCGGCTGTGAAAAATATGTTTTCGTCCGATTTCCGAGGTTGTGATCACGTCTGTAGGGAAATGGATTGTGTTGGCGTTGCAGGACCACCCACATCCTTGTCCCAACTTCAGGGAAGCGGTCATTAGGACGAATGGTAGTCCAGCTCGCACAGGAACTACTTGATATTTACCAAACTGCTATCTATTACGACTCCTTTATCTCCTCATTAGATAGGACCTCTTCTCTAAACAAACACTACGACCTCCATTCCGAGAAACCGCTTCGGCTTGTTGGTGAAGTTCTAGAGGAAATTAAGGGCCCTACTATCTCATCATTACAAAAAATACATCAGATAATACTGTTTCCAGGTATACATGGGCATACAATTCGCCACAGGGATTCTTAATGGAAGTCGAATGTGGGGGTGCATCCCTCAGACTAGGTTGATTATTGCCCCAAAGCTTTGAGACGAGGCTCTATCACATCATTTTTGTGGGCTTCGTTGCTATGACGTACTAATGTAACGAAATCTGCCTTACTTATCAGTTGGAAAACCCTTTTTTCAGGGAAACCCATCATGTGCGCCTATAAGATGTGCCGTGTCGAGTTTCGCTACTGGGGGTTACAGGTTAGTTCTATACTTAACTCAGTACTTTCACTGAATTCTACTAACAATAAGTTACGGGACAACTTAGGATCTATTTTAGACCAGAGCTGAACGATGGATTCACGATTTGGCGCTAAGGAACACGATGCTACGAGCTCATCGTCAAGCATGGGCATGGCAAGACGAATGGGTCGGTCTGACCATGGCCGATATCAGACGTCTAGAAGCTGAAGCAGCCGAACATCTTTCAGCTGTCATGGCCAAAGAGTTAGTTTGAACTTGTATATCCTCCTACAAACGCAAAACAACTTATGGATTAATCGCTCAAAGCCGCTTCTAACTCATGTTTTGGGTGGATGGACGTAGCCTTCTGTTCATGACATTTTCCTACTTTTGTCTCGATCTCGAGGCTCACAACAGAATCCTCTCACTGAGCGCTGACAAAACAAGTCGGATATTCATGGAATAATCCCTCTATGAATTTGATCTTCTAAGCAAAACAAGCTGAGTGCCTGTAGTGACGATTAATGGGATATACAGAAGGGGCCGAGTTCATCTGACTTATATCCCAAAAATCCATCTCATTCAGCCTATGGAATAGAAAACGATCCTAAAAGTGTTCTACCTCTAAATTCTACCCCTGTAATACATTAAAATATTATTTAGGAACGATGAGGCTGCAGAGGATTCTGATGCTTCGTCTGACGATCTCTACTTCGACTGCAGTGACGGTTCATCGCAACATCACAAACCGTCGATCATTCGGTGGAGCTCAGAACTTGAACTGGAGATAGTAGACGAGCGTGAGTAAAATTACTGAAGTACTCAGGCAAGAAGTTGCCATCGTTTGGCCAAAACTAGGTTACCACAGGCGACGGGTTGTCCTAATATGTCATTCCTTACATGCTCTTTCGTTACTTGCTCTGGCACTTTACAGCAGCAGAGAGACGATGCATTCTTTTGAATGAACTTTCCTCTCTTGTCTCCAGTTCTTTGAAGGGAATTAATATTTGTTTTTATATCTACAAATATACGAAGACATAGAGGAAAGAAAATATGGTCTCATCGAATGCTGGCAAAATGACCGAGAGAGCAAGGAACAAATGCGTCAGAATCACTGGGAAGGAATCAGGACACTTCACACGACCGAGATGGTGCCTCTTGCCCCGCACCCCTTTTTTCAGGCGACACATGAATCTAAACTTGGAAAATCTTTCGAATACTAGATTGGGTAAAGGAGAAATTCGTAAGTAGATTGCGACAGGGAAGAGAAACCAAGGGATCCCAGGGGTTCTCTATGTTTTCCGGAATTTTAGGTCAAAGAGAACCTCAAAACCCCGTTGATTAGCGTTTTTATTGTTGCTCGCACTTTGAACTTCCATTACAGGTTTCTTGCACTTGCAGACTCGCCTCCGTTGACTCCACGACCAAGTAGCGCAGCTTTGCTAATCATCGTATTCCATGGAGAATTCGGTCCAGACAATCCGGTCGATGCTAAAACGAACGACACGAACACTTTCAGGTGAACCAGCAATCCAAGATCTTATTATTAGTTATTGGGGATCCGGACTAGGTTAAGCGGAATGTGATGGCCTTCTTTTGCTCTTTGACACCGGCTCGAAAGGTCGCTGTTTTAAAGTGCTCACGTAGTAATAAGGTGCACTTCAAAGATGAAAGAAGTTTAAATCATGATTGATGAGCTGTCTGTGCTGGTGTGATCTGACGAGAAAACGGATTGGTTTTCAGTTTCTACGTAGAAATAGGGTTCTTCAATAGCAGAAATTGTTTCGGCCGGCAGCGTAGCAAATTAGGAGGTATGCGAAGATTTCAGGGAATGCAGATGTTGGGGTAATACTGTTAATGCATTTCCGAGGTTCATTCTGCGAAATAAAATGGGTTCCTTGAATTGCAGAATTGTAAGTACATGTGATATGGTTGGCCCGGCCACGAAAAAAAAAAGACCGATATGAATTTGCCAAATGAGTTCGTCTTTTTTACAGATGTCGAATGTGCTCTCACCTACCCCCTGAAGGTCTTTTCAGTAACTTTTTCGGCGAAACCCCACTAAAGCGGAATGAATTTTCGAAGATAGCAATTTTGAAATATCAGTCATTCTTGGAGAAGATAGAGATATTTCAAGTAGGCAAGGTGGTTGGCATGTATGGGTCGAAGGACGCGATTAATGTGCCCAAAATCTCCCATGTTTCACAGATGCGCCATGCACCAGGCATTTATTCAAAATCACGGAGCATTCTCCTGATAGGGTCATGCCGAGGCCGTGCCTTGAAAAAATTTACCGTAAGCTAAAAAAAATGGAATGTCGAGCTAAGGGTTCACTGAGTTGACGGAACTCTACTCTCAAACTTACAAATACAAAGTTATCCTCTGAGCTAGATCCGTTCCACACAGAATTGTATAGCGACCATTTTCAGATCAACGATCGACTCACTCGTTCAACGACATTATCCACAATTGAAAGGTCGGGTCCATGTGTTGATGGTATCGTGCGGGTCGGAACTCGACCCGGTTGTCAATCGTCTGTCATCGATCTCATCCTCATTTGGAGCTCTTCATCCATCAATGGCACTGATCATATCGAGTGCACAGGCTCTCTATCATGATGTGAGACACATTTTGAGGTCCATTAGTTCGAGGGGTTAATCCTAATCATTTTCCAGGCGATTGAAGGTACAATTCGGAGAGCAAATGAGGCTTACAACGAATTTATCGAGCAACAGCCGCAATTCAATGGCGAGGTGATTCCTTCAATAGTTTCCTCCGTCCATGGAGCTGCATTTTCATTTTTATATAGGAGCTTCATGGAAGACCGCCGTTTCCATTCGTTTAAGATAGATTGAAGAAACGTAGTACTAATATTATAGAAAGCGCTCCTTTAAATGAAACCTCGCTTTATTCTTTCTCGTAATTTCACAAGCAAAAATATGTGGCTACCCTTCTCGGCCGGAGTGTGCCGCTGTTTTGGCAATTTACTCAGACGCCTCATGCATTTTTTCGTTCTCGTGTCCTTTGTTCAGCTACTGATTTTACGGGAAATCTTGCACTGTAATTGCTTTAACTCTCGGAATCTTTCAGATTTTCGTGGTCGGTGACACCCTGGGAGGTTTGCTGCTCTACGAAGCTCTGACCAAATATGATTTGAGAACACGTCGTACGAGCTGCACATCTAGGCCGAGCATTGGAGAAATGGATGGGGTAAGGGCGAGTAACATTGCTTATCGTTTATCTTTTCAGTCAAGCTGTTGATGAGAAAGTTTTGACAGATAGTTCCATAGATCTATTACAAATTATCAAATACCAAAGTAGTCCTTGAGTCCTTGGAACTGGGCCCTGTAGGCAAGAGCAACATCGTACGAAAATTTTGTTTGAAGGTCAAATCGGAACCACCTCCGATAGGAAACTGCTTTTGAAGGGGAAGATTCGGGGTCAATTGCTATCGAATAGGGGGTGGGAGTGGGGTACTACAAACGGCGATGTTCCCAAATTCTCATTGACTTCCTGAAAAATTCCAAAATCGGAGTACAGTGGATTTCCTTTCTTATCGCCAAAACTCCTTAGGAGAGCTCTTGATGTGAATACGAGATGGTGTTCTAGAATATGTGAAAGAGCGATAAGCGCTGCTTTCTACAATGGCAACCCTAGGTTTCACAAAATATTTTGGCTAAGTAAAGCCATTAAACTTGTTTTTAAATTAGATTGGAAAATAAAATATTGCGTGCTTTAAAAGACGCTGCCCACTATGTCCTTACGGACTTTTTTATCTTCTCAAAAGCCAATCTCTGTCATCATCTTCGTGATCTCGCATTCCCATTCGATGCCGCTATTTCAAATGAAAAATGATTGGCATTCATTGAATTTGAATTGATGATGCGCATAAAACCCATTTTGTCGAAGCTGAGTCTTTTCTTATGGGGGTAATAAACAGTTGCGTAGAAACGAATGAAGATTTCCTAGTCATTCAAAACCCCAATCCACCAAGATGTGATACCAAGAAATTGTTTATTGCATATTCAAACGAGCTTTGCTTTGCAATAAATGAATCCAGCAGAGCATTTTCTGAGAATGTCCGAGTTTGCTGTCATAATTCGAGTTGATATGTGTCTGCCAACTTGGGGGCCCTGATAGTCTTTTTTTATACCTGAAATTCTCATAAGAATTATACTGCTGGGGCCACCAGAAACGCTATTTACTCGTATGCTAGTCATCTTACAGTATGTGCCCCAGTTTCACTGAATAAATCTGCTCCCATGCCAGCTATCGACTTTCCATAACTTGTTTATCGTAGATGGCAAGAATGGCGCTTTAATCTTACTTTTATATATAATGGTACCATCACATTTCTGTTCCTTTCCTGCCAGAAATTTTACATCCTCTTTTACTTTTCTGTCGGTTTGTCTGTACAATATACGCTTTCCTTATTACCCTTTCTGTTGAAGACGACACCAGCGGCTCCCCTACCCATGTAATAGTCAGAGTCATGCTGAGCCTGCTTTTGGTAACTTTTGTAGGAACTATTTGAAGTTATTCTTCATACACGTTGAATGAACAGCGGAAAGCACCATACTCGTAGGCTACATTAACCCTATTTGATTCAATTGTATTTCACCGGAACAGTCTACAATTTTAAGGACATTCAAAGTGTAATCCTACAAATGAAATTCATATCACAAAGTTCTATAGAGCTACGAAAAGCAAGAGCTCCATCATCAGTTTTTGTAGCTTTTACACAAATTTCATTCAGCTCAAAAGTATAGGGTGAGCATTCTGGAGATCTAGGGGCACTGCTTTTCCCTAGAACAGCAATTACCCTGAGCACATCTTGCTGTGCTGGTCTCATCCTTATAATTCCAAAGGCGTTGCCACCTCAAAGTTATACTGTTAAACTTAGAATGTGGCCGTTTTGAAGGTTATGTGCAATGAGAATAGAAGTGTAGAAACAACAACGTAAATTCAGCAAACAATTGTCACAGAAATTAATCACTTCAAAGAAACGACAGTCACCATTGGAAGTTTTGGGAACACGTCAGTTCCACTCCCAAGCTACGTATCTCCAGTGGAATTTTCCAAAATTCCACAAATGCTTTGTAGGATGAAACCTTTATTCTGAATGAGGGTAAGGATAAAAGTAAAGGATAAAGTTTTTGACGTTAATCAATCCCGTCTGAGGGATGCGCCTCCGTAAAAGTGTATACGTAAAAAGCAATTAGTTGAGCTATTCCTTTGCACGAGACCACGTTGTATGTATGTAGTGGATAGCTAAAGTGTCTGAATTTTCGCATATAAACGACAAAGGGTCAGAAAAACGGAGCAGATACTGTGAGCATATCTTTTGATTTGAATGTAACTCCTTTGGGAACCAGTCTGTAAAACGCTTTTAACTTGTATCTGATTTCAGAAAAGGGATTTTTTCTTCGATAAGCCACTAAAGCTTGCGGCTATCGCATGTTGAAATGAGATTACAACTTTCATCAGTAATTTGTGAAACTACATAAGAAACTCTATGAACTTGTCCCAACTGAATGTGCTTGCACCTCCTCCCCCTAATGTCAGCATTTGTTTAATCCCTCACAGGAAAAAGCCCAATTTCACAAAATAGATTTTTTGCGCAAGAAGAGTGAAGGTTAAGATTATACTTGTCATTTTTTCCATTTAGAAAAGCAGCACCAAAGAAAAACGGACCCGGTTACTTTTTGAATATAATTACAGCAACAGATACGAATTGCAATACTTCCAGTATTTACATAACAATAGAAGATGAAATGTGACTTTTCCAATTTTAATGCATCGTTTTGCCATCCCCAAAGACACCAGCGGCTGCTCTACTCTGCTGTTAAGTAGGCATAAAACGGTCTTAAAAAGACTGTTACATCCACGGCGGGTACTGCTACCCGTAAGTCGCCACTGAAATCTTAAGCTCATTTCCAAAATATAAGCCCTTTTCTTGATTTTGTCCTGAACAATTCCATGAGCAAACTCTTGGATTCTTGTGATTACTACATACTATATCCAATTTTGGTTCAGGTGCTTAATCACGTACACTCGCCACTGCTTACCGAGTCACCCATCAACAAATCACCATCAATTAAGTCAGTGAATGCACGAAGCAGCCCTTCACTTCTTCCTCATCCACCAACAAAGAAGAAGGCATCGGTTGGATCCGCTTCAGTCGAAAGTGTTATGGTAAGTTCACTTCACAAGGCCCAATCCTACATTGAATCTGGAATAGACCTAAGTTATGCTATTCTCGGACGCCGGTAGTACCTTCTGATGGTTCTGTTCAGGTCCAAACTCGCATCGTATTCCAACCGACAACGGCGTTTCTTTTGGGATGTCCTCTTGGTTTGGTGCTGACACAACGGAAATTGCTTGGATACGGTACTAACACATGACGTTTGACTAATATCATATCGTTCACATACTCTTTCTAGATATCGATTCGCTGGAATTATGCCAAGTATTCAATCTGTACTATCCACTTGATCCTTGTGGTGCTCGACTAGAACCGGTCCTTAACCCGCATCTCAGTTTGCTTCAACCTGCTAACGTTCCAAGGTTAGTAGCCTTCGGTTCAGTAGGATTGGAACTTCACAAAACTTCTCATTCAATTCTTACACCAAAGCTCAGTCCTTTTCCTAAGAATCAGGAAACAACCTGAACCACTAACCCTATCCTTTTTAATCTCTGCCCGATTTTGAACAAATTGGATGCATGGCGCACACCAATAGCTTTTTTGTATGAGACTTTAATCCTAAAACCAGCGAAGTGGAAGTAGGAGAACGCTCCGGAATGAGCGGTTCTGGTCTTTTCATTGGAAGTGAATTCATAGTACAGCAGTCTCTACCACTTCAAATCAGTGCTACATATGATGCAAAAGTATTGAAATTGTAAATTCCAATGACTTTACCAATTTCTCACGCACTGACTGAAGCGCAGGTGGAAGTACTCTTACTGCCGATCTTGATTGCAGACCTCTTGATTTTCAGATATCAACGTTTTCCTGTAGGAGACGGTCGTTCTTTGTATTTCGATTCATCGGTTGATCTCACCCCTCTATGGGGTAACAAACGTATGGACCATGTCCTCTATTGCCCTACAGGTAAGCATCAATGACAATTAATAAACAACTTCACCTACACTTACGTAGATGAATTCATATGACGAAGGGTACCCCCTAAATTAAATACTGAATTCAAAGACTTGATGAAGAGGAAATCAAAACTACTATAAGTTGACATAAACTCGGTCGTTTTTTCGACTAAAAGAGAAAGTAAGGGTAAAAATAGATAATCATACGAAAAGAAAGGATATCATAAAATGGAAATCTATCAAAAATCTTACCCACGAAGTAAGAGAGTGGATGGCATTGAAGAGAGAGATTTAGTGGATGGCATGCACTCTCAATACTTCCATTATGCTAAGTGGAAGCATTGGCTGCATATTTTGAAGTGTTTGAAATTATTTGTCGTTGGTCACCGATTGATTCTTTGTTGGTAGTTTCAGCAATGGTTGCTCTTCCGTCATCAGCTTTGCCAAATATTTTACACGCATCTTACTGGGAATCGATGGACACCGCAGCCTTCATACTTCGACAATTCGTCAGAACTGAAGAATCCGTTGCTACCACACTGTCAGCGAGCCTTAACCATCTACCGCTAAAGATAGAGCTACCACCATTGCAATGGAAGAGGAAGCGGACTCGTTTCAAGGTCTGTTGACTGGAGTTATCTATACGGCTGAGGGAAGGGATAGAGCGGAAGCCCGTGGGAATAAGATTAAGCTTAAGATGTACACAGGAGTTCTGCTCTTCTGTGTCTGCCATTGGCTTCATCTAAATTCAGGTATCGAATCTTTCACCGAACCATCGGGCGAACGACGTTCTCGTGGTTGCCGGCAATGAAGTGAGCGTCATGGCAAAGTTTTGCTACGGCCCAATGGATTTAGTCGCATTGACAAGGGAACAAGTGTCCGTCTTCCTTTGCCCGCAAAGGTCTGAAATCAATTATCGAATCGGCAGATGATTAGGTTTGCTTATAAAAAGTAATTCGTTTCATTCAGAGGAGACTGGTATGAAGTTGGCGTGTATGAGGTGGATTCTCATGGTCGACTGGTAGTCTCATTGGGGACATCACTCCCATGTGGTATTCATTCTCTCAAGGTTAGCTATATTCATAAAAAGTAGTGTTTTGTATTATTCAAACTCGGTAATCTCTAAAGTGGAGTCGTGAGGACGCTTTCCCAGTCGATGATCGTTCCCACCCTCATTCTGCTTTCAGTGTCTACAAGGTTATCACTGCCTTCATCGCATGTCTGTGAATTTTCAAGTCACTTTCAGATGGTGGTGCACGGTGATCGATCGTATTTGGACGCCTTCATAGCAGTTGTACCGTCGACAACTCGTTGTGTAGTGTTTTCCGTTGATGGTTCATTGACCGCTTCGGTTTCTGTCACTGGAAAAGATCCACGAGTACGCCCAGGTGCTGTTGACGTGGTGCGCTACTGGTTTGAGCAGGTATGAAAGGATTCAAGTTCAATTTTTGATTTCATTTTCATTTGCACAAATTTTCATGTCCACTCCTGGGGTGCTCCGACAGCATACCTTATAACCTACTCTCAGTGACCTTACAGCCAAATTTGTTAAAGTTCTTAGCAGATATCGGGAACTTCTTTTGATAATCATGACTCTTTTCAGGGTCAGGTAATACTGTATCTGACTGCTCGCCCAGACATGCAACAACGAGTAGTGTCAGCATGGTTGGCTCAGCACTGTTTCCCACACGGTCTTCTACTCTTCAATCCGTCCTTCTCAACAGATCCGTTAAAACAGAAATCACTTCATCTGAAGCAGATAGTCGATATGGGAATACGGATACATGCAGCATACGGAAGCAGCAAGGTACTGAACTGACTTAGAGTTACTGGAATAAATTGTGGAAAAAGAATGCTGGGCATATGACAGCAAACGAATTATTTTTCTAAGAAGACCTCAAGATTTTTAACCTCTACACACCTTCCTTCAATCTGTCAAAACAAAGAAATGGTTCCGCAAGTAAAAATGGGAGCTGACAGTGTTTAGCAAAAAACTATCTGCCTTGATCAGGAACATACTTTTTCGACTTTAGGACGTGGCGGTGTACTGTGGCGCTGGTGTTGATCCTAAACGAATCGTATCAGTATCAGGTGCTCGTCGGCGGACATGCATAGCTATCGGTAGGTTTATTTGAATCTTCAGCTGAAGCCAGTGAAGGTGATACTTCGGCCTTTTAATGGCGTCCCACATTTTTCAGATAGCTATTCAAGTCATCTGGAGGAGCTCATCAACGGTGGATCACAACTGTCTCAAGCTGTTGAATTGACCGAACAGATCAACACCTTAGGATTAGCAACGTCACATCATCGGTGAGCTATAAAACACACAGTGATGCTGTCGTTTTTGGAGAGCAATTTATAATGAGAAGAAAACGTTCACAATGATTTTGGGTGATTGCCTTGCCGTGCCTTTAACAAATTCAAATAGTCAATCTGTAAGCCAGCTTTATACGTGCAGACCATAAACTTAAGGCTTGTCGCATGCGAACGACGCGCCAACCCGAAGCCGCGCCGCAACCGCACGCGTCTCGTCTCGGGCGCCTCAAAGTGTTATGATGGAGTTGGAAACTGTGTCTGTTGAATAGTAGAGTCCACCCATTTCTCATCACACATTAAAATTGGGATTGAAAGAAATTCCCAATAAATTAACACTGCAATTTCAGGACCGTACAGCGAACAACGTCATGTACTCCAAGAGGTGGGAAATTCGAGAACGAACGTCGGTGACAATGGCATTTCCATGAGCTTCCACATCACTCCCGTCTTTCTCTCTCTTAAAACTTGCGCATGCTTCATATTTGCTCAAACAGTAGCCCGGTGGCTTCTGTTTACATCAACGGTTTACATGTTGATGGCTAAATTGCACCATTCCCCTGCCATAATGTGTTGCGAAAAGAAGCTGGACCAATGCTAACCCCGTTTGCTGCTACCTTCTGTTCTATCTATATTTAACTGCTCTGACCACTGTCTTGCCCCAAAACCCTAATGCCCCCAATGATATGCGTAGCTAAGGCCCCAGATATAAGCATGCGCAATGAGATTGATGGTGTTCATCAATCTGTCACTACTACTTTATTCTACGCATTTCTCGGGTGCGGATTTACTGCTGCAACTCTTGCTACCTACTTCTCTCTACATTTTACTGTCCCCAACATCCACGGTCAAACCGATACAAATGATTTTTCCATTGAGGGTTGTACATATATCACATTATTTTACAATATTTATTTGATGACCAAAGTGATTCGTCTCATGTAACTCAGAATCATCGAATCTTTTGTGTTTTCATGCTGGTCCTTTTTTTGTTAATTCGAAGTGTTCAGAACATTCTGATTCTTTTTGTACACCGTTGTCCCTCTGGGTTTTTTATGAGCTTTAATGACATCCGAGTGAACTTCATTTTATTATCTTCGAGGCCACATCCTACCCTGGTCAAAGCCCGTCGTCTTTCAAAATCTACATATGTTCCACTGGCTGCTTTCATAGTCCACGATTTGGCCCGCGAGCGGGCGACCGACTGACCGACCGAGCGAGCGGTTAAGGTGGCGCTTGCCCGCGGTATTCCGTAGTAAACGAGGGACAAGCGCCGCCCCAATCGCCCGCTCGGTCGGCCGATCGCTCGCTCGTGGGGCAAATCGTGGACTATGAAAGCAGCCACTGTATCATTTTGCTTCTTTCCATCTTTAACCTGGCAACTGGCATACCTAGATCAGGTCTGAATGAGGCCTCAAACCCTTCTTAATGGCACTTCCTCTTTAAGATCTCTGGGCAGTGACCTTCTTATCATCCCACAATTCTCAAAAATTCATTCCATTTGATCAAATTCAGGTTATCTATGCTATTCCACTTCAGTATTCATGAAATCCAAATGTATACAATATTTAGAATAGGTACATACTCTATCAATTTCCTAGGTTTCGTTCTACATTATTGAATTTGATGAGACAACGAAAAAGACATGTACCGATTCTATAAATGCGAATATAATCTCAATAAAATTGATTTCATTGAAGCTCGAGAACAATACGCCATTTTACTGACACCGCTTCACGAATGTAGTTAACAGTTCTTCATTGCTGTAAAAAAACAAGAGTCGGAACGAAAAATTCAGCCAAATGGATTTTTAGCCATAAGATGGAGCGAGAGCGGTAGATCACTATCACACAAGCATGGTCCAGGGTTCGACTTGAGAGTTTGGGCGTCTGGATCAAACCCTGGATCGATATTACGCCCAGGCCAACAGAGCTTTCCATTTTTCTAGGTCACTAATCTGCACCATGCTCCATTGGGAGGATAAGAGCACACTGATTTGGATATCCACCACACGAACGACCACCACAAGTCACTCTATGGACCGCAGTGAACTGGGACTCCGAATGAAAGTCGAACGCAGGGTGCATCCCAAAAACGGGATTGACGACAAATACCCTTTCTTCATTCCATCATAATTTGACTACTAGTTTTTGATGACGGAATCAGTGAGAGAATGCCTATCGAACACTTCAAAGCTCAAAAACTTGTGTAATTCATTGGATCGAAAAATTAACTCACATTCCGCAAATTCGATCAATACTTCCATTCGGCTGGTTAAATGTGGAGGGCACGGCTACGAGCCCGTCCATTATTCCGTGACCAACAAAAACCTAAAAATTGCGAAGCTCTACGTTTTGAAACGTCTTATGAAGTTGCTAGACCATGCAAACTCGGAGAACAAAAGAATTAGAGAAAGGGGGAAAGTCTGGGTACATATTAAAATGCGAAACTGGAAAAATCCTATCACTGGAGGGAATCTGTACACATCCAAACTTTTCCGCTGTTTCCCAAAGTTGCAGGCTAAGCACGACGCTTCACCGCGTGATTCGCGACATCGCAGACATCCGGTATATCTAGCAAACGTATGTGCATAGCATACGTTCAAAAAACAACCAAGTCTACCTGCCAGTCCCCGAAATCACAGCAATCGAAGTCAGGATTGGCTTCAGCGAATTCGAAAGACGATTTTGGTTTCATCATGTAAGAATAGCTGCCAACTCGTAAGCAACTTAGCAACAGCAGCATTTCTAGACAAAAGGCATGATCGTTTCAGGTAGTCATCCTATTTTCGAGAATGTCAACGTTACCTGTTTCCTTGGCTGATAAAAAATTCTCGAATGAATACCATTTTAACGGAGCTGAGATAGTTAAAATACGGGCTTCCGAAGGTAGTCGAGTTTGCCTGGCTATTGACCGAGCCAACATATCGGCATCAGGGGATCTACAGCAGTTCAAGTTCATTTACACAAATCATTTTGTAAACAATAGCCCTTCTCACATTTCATCTGAAGGATATCGAATCATTTCAAGAAGGATAGAACATATCTTCGACTTGAACAATTGTGACTTGGAGAAGCCCACCAGTAGTTCAGCCGAAGAGTTCGATCTAGAAATAAGAAGCTTGACGGTGACGGTGTTTGAATGTTCATCTCATTAGGCGGAAGTTCATAAAATTGGTTAGTAATCACAAGCCTCACAACTCAGAGTCAACTATAAGAGGCTTCGTGCTTGGACATACATTTCTTGAAAATCCCAGAATCAGAAAAATGAAAAGTAAGGATGTTGAACATTTGCTGACTACTACATTACATTACAATAACCAAACTAAAAAAAGGAGAGGAGCATTGAAATAACTTCTTTTTTAGTTATTCATCTCAACCTCAAAATAAGATGGGCTGTATTTTTACTTCATCGCAATCCAATTTTCCTTACACAACCAAAAAAGAAGAAATTCCTATGAACTTCCGAATAATATAAGGAAAAGAGCAAACCGTAATAAGGGAATACTCGATCCTTCGTTGTCTAGCAGAACACATTTGATCAACCCACAGTCTTCCAGAGTGTGGCAAATAGGTTGCCTGAAAAGTTTGAAACAAAAATCTTTTGAGAATAACTAACGTCACTACAAATACTTCACAGGCGAAGAAATCAGGTCTTTTTTAGCAGGTACCAGAGAAGACCTTAATAGAGGATTTTCGCTCTGAGGAGCTCTTAATAGAAGATTTTAACCCAATAAGATCAAACAAATCAAATAAATCAGGCATGAGACATGTTTGGAAAGAAGAAAACTGTTTGCTCTCGTCCCATACCGAAACTCGAGCACTGTATACTTTACACTCCCTATGGTTTCATACTTAGCCAGATTTTGTTTTTCCCATCTTTACCGTCTAAGGTCATACCTCTTGACTACTTGGCCAAAACACAAAGTGCTGCGCCGTTGTTTTGTTATGGAAACTGGATGACGTACATATGATATTGCTCTGAAGTGTTCATGACATCGAACGATACACAAATGGCATCTCCGAATCCTATGCACCAGCGTTGCTCTAGCGATGTGTAGTTCGAGACAAAAGGATCCTTCGGGGTAACGCCCAGGACCTAAAATCAGATGAGGATTAAAAGCATAGGATTTTCGAAATTCGCTCCCCAGTTCTAAGGAAATGTGATTCCATTGCGGCTAATTATGGTATCACAACGAACGATATTTCAAAACTCATCGATCGTGGATGAGAAACTCGACTTCAATGTCTAAATTACATTAACTCAACGGAATGGAAGCATATCGGAAGAGAAAATAACAAGTAATTACGTCATATGCCAATGTGACGTTATAAGGTTGTCATAGGTAGTACGGCTGTGTCTGCTACTTCCTTCAGAAGATATTAATTGCCCATCGAAATACAGCAATGAGTAAGGATTTCATCGTGGAATGGAGGAAATGAACGGGACTCCTCAAATGCTTTTGTGGCCATCGATATGAACTATGCCTTCAGATTAACGTCAACCTTCTACAGGACTTAAGTGTCGTCTGATGACACCGAACACGATCGGACATAAAACCCCTACTACAACTTCATTCACACTTTCTTCTACCACTTCCCTGAGAGGCAAGGTGTGAAACAAGTATTTGTCCCATTCATGGTACCGACGACGGTTATTGATCGCTCAAGATCATAGAATCCTTCCTTGAGCTTCTTCAAATTCATAATGAATGTCAAGCAGACATTAGAAATTTTCAGTTCCCGTCCAGTAATCTATTATTATCACCGTAATTCAAAGTTAGACTAATCATTTTTCTTTTTGAACGCTGGAAAATGCGCTAAATGCAGTATGAGCCGCCGATCTGCAGCGCCTGGACTATGAATACAACAAATGAAAAACTTCATTACGGGTACAGCCCACCCACTTGGCATCGAACCTTGGTTGAACCGTTCCTTCTATTCAATTGTAATACGTTCCTTCGGCAAATGCTTGATGTTGAGATAAAATGAGTACCTTGTGAATCATTTGACGATCCCTCGACGTGCTCTCAAGGCTTGAAAAGACACACTTCAAAATTGCTTCCTTTGCATTAACACGATCTTCCAATACACCAATTTCAACTTTTAACTTATCCACGACATTTTCCATCTGAACACAAAAGAAAAAATACCAGCAATGAGCCATAAGCACTATATCACACATATTATCATCATTAACATTATATTCAATCATCATCATTCTCTAGAGCTTTCAAACTGAGGGCGACTGAGTTCAAAAAAAAAACGTAAGTTAGACACAAAGCTTTAGAAATCCAAACACTGAATTACTAACTCTGGAATCCTTTGTATGAATTTGAAAATCTTTCAGATATTAGCCTATCTAACAAAACTCTTTTACAGAAGAAATCAAGGATCGAATTTTTCGGCTCTAAGGACAGAAGTTTTCATGAACAGTATAAGGAGGGAAGTAACAGCAACATTTTTGATTTTCAATGGAAACAAATATTTATCTGAATATAAATGAAAACAATTAAACAATTGAAAGATAACGAGTCGCACAGAGTGAGCTGTGTACATCTATATTTAGACCGGTGTAGAATCCTGCCCTTCCAGAAGAACCGTGGTGCTGTAGGCCACATCCCAATAATGGGCAACGTTGTGCTTTTCCAACAGGTCTCTCGCCTATAGAAACATCCATATACATTAAAAAAAAGTTAAAGACATCAAAAATACCAGACCTGCTTCTCTATCGTAGCAGTGACCACAGTGAAATCCCTGAAATTCCGCCGCTTCACCTGACCCTCCCAGATCTGAAAAAAATCAATTGGTGTGAATACACATATACGATGAGAATAACTTTCCATCAAAGCTGAATAGAACAAACAAAAAAAAAAACAAAATCTACAAGTACTCAATCAAGAGTGACGTATTGGAATGAAAAAAGCCGGTGATAGTAAAAAAAACATCAGGCTATATGCACTGAGAAACTAGTGGTTAGTCCTACAACACTGGGAAAAGAAAGCCACAACACTCACCAATTGACAGTGGTTTCGTTCTCCTGGTGCGTCTTTATCAGCATCCTTCTTTTGTCCTATTACTTCATCTTCCCATTTGATTCTATTCAGCATTAGATTTTTATAGAACTTTTGTTGCTTAGGACCTGAGGTAAATTTATGGAACTAGCAGCACGGATGTAGCCAAAAGAATCCAAAAAATAAACTAATGAATTACAAGTAACTTACCCCCTTCGACAACAACAAGATTTATATTCTTATGCAGTAGAATTACACCCGTCATTTGAAGCTGCTTTGCATTCATTTCAACTTTGAACTTTTTCGAGGGGCTTTGCATTCATTTCAACTTTGAACTTTTTCGAGGGATGTAAGAGTGATTTAACTCTGGAATATGATTTTTGTCTAGAGATGCAGTAGAGCGAAAAGTCGAACAAAAAAACCAACCTATAAACGGCAACGTGAACTGCTAAGGAAGTGTCTTCAGAAATCTTTTTTGTTTTCTTCACTGCCTTTTGCTCGTCAGTCAACTTCCTCTCTGCGTTTGCCTGGAGAAAATCTAACTCAAGGCTAATAGTGGAAAGTGGCTCTTAAGGTAATCAGTTTACCATCAGAGCTGCGAAGCGTACTGGAATGACAAAATTCACCTGTTGATGCTTCTTCAGTCGATCAGCCATTTGTTTTCTCACATGTGCTTCCATCTTTGTAGGATCTTGAACCGCGTCGCTTCCGAGGACCCTCATAAGGTTTGAAATTTTCACCTAAACAAAAAAAGGGTATACGCAAAGAAAGATACGGAAGAAAAGCTCAGAATGCACTTGGTCACAGAAATAAAAGAAATAAAGCTTACTTTAGGAGCAGGCGCTTTGGCAAGACCTATCCGAATCATCTCAGTACGCTCCTTCTGCATCTCTTTACGATTTTGCCGTCTGATTTTTTTACGCTCTCGAGCCGTCAAATAGACCTAGAAAACGATCGAAACTGACTGGAAAAGGTACAACTATAGGAGGACAAAAAAAGCCTACTTTCAAGTACTGTGGGGTCAGAGGATCCGTCGGGGCTCTCAACTTTATAGGATGTTCAACTAGTTCACTGATAGTATCCTTGAATCGTGATTCTACATCGGTCCCAGGAATGTCATCGTAGCTTAAATAACATTAATAAAAGGAATTGGCAGAAATCCCTCAGGTATTGCCAAGTCACACCAGGTTGTG